TGCCATCAGTGATTGGTGAAGGCTCACTGCAGATTCTGATTTTGAGTGAAAAATTTGCTCCGTTTCTCAGTTTGATATTGGTTTGGTGGAAACATTGGAGCAAAGAAAAGTGACTTTGTTTCATCAAATTCAAATTTGATAGCTTGAATTTTGGTTACCATTGGAGATGGTCTTTAGATGTGTAGATCGATTAGTTAGACATAAGTTTTGCTGACTCTGTAGAAATGTGATATTGGGGTCTTTCAATGCTGGTGGCTTACAATATTATGATAGGATATATGGCATTTAGAACCCATGCATCATCTCCAATTCATGTATGGCATGTAAGGTTAATTAAGGTATATATTATGCTTTAAGCGAATTCTTATGAAAATTGTTAATGCACAATTTTACTATTACGCAAGTGTTAAGTGTTGTTTAATTTTAAAATTTTGTCCTTACATGTAATAAGCAAATTAATTCTTAATAATATAAACGTATTAAGAACATAGGTAATTGTTTATTTGTAAAAGATAATTATTGAATTTAAAAAGTAATCAATGTGGTTAAATTAGTGGTGTAGTTATAAAATATTCATTAATTTTGTGTTAGTTTGGAGAAATTTTGAGTTGTTAATTATATGCTATATTTTTAGTTCCAATTACAGTAGAGAGCGAGCAAAGCTCTTGTAGTTTCAGTTGTAGGGGAGATCATGTGAATGTCCATGAAGGCTTTTGGGTTTCTCTTGCTTGCCAATTTCTTCACATGAATAATAAATTAAATTTGCATCTAGTTTTTGACTCTGTATGAGGATTTGCTTAGGAGTCATTCATTGTAGCTGGATGAAGACAAGTTAAGAACTAAGTTATCGTTTGATAGGGCAAGGGATAGGTTTCTTCTTAGTAGGGTTCTTGGTTTTACAACCTAACTGTGCTTTTTTTGTTATTTATATTAGAAAGTTAAATAATTCATCTTGGTTGCATTGTTTATGATTTGATTTCGAACAACAGGTTGGTACTGTGGGGTGTGGCGGATTACAGATTGATGGCCAAAAAACCGAAAGCGCGCAGTTATTTTAATGATGGAGTTTTAGATTTATTTATTGATTTAAAATTTGTATTGGGGACTTCAATGCTTAATTTGGATTTGAAAATCAGAGGAAGTAATTTATTGACAATAAAAAACTGAGATCAAATATGAGGGAAATAATGATTGTGTTTGAAATTGTAGCAATGAATTTTATTCACTAGATAAGTATTAAATGCCAGGTCGGGGTTGAATTGATGGGGAACTTTAGTATGAACTTTTTTTAATTTTTTTTTTCAATAAATTTGATAGATTTGTAGTAGCCAATAGTAGATCTAACAACATTTGAAGTTTTCAATGGTAGTTTTGGGAGTTTTGTCTTTGTTTTTCACCCCCTTGATTGGATCTCACTTTTAGTTCTCTAATCATCAAGTTTAAATATGGTAAGAGAAGTAAAGGGTTGGAGATGCTCTTTAATAATCAATTTCAAACATTGTGGTTATTTGTTCTTGAGGAACCGCACACCGAGTCATTCAATGTCTCTTAACTACCAAAGTTTAAATTTTGTTTTAAAAGCTGTAGTAATCAGTGACTTCAAATTGCCAGAACTTATGTTTAGAAACAAATGTATCTTTCAATGCTGAAATTCATGCATAGTTGACGGAATTGAACTTGAAACATAGGAAACCCAATTCAAATAGCTGAAATGTTGATGAATCAATTTGTGGACATTAACATGGATGAATTTGTTTACAGAAACTAATGGTCTGAAATGTTGATGTTTCATTGATAGAAACAAATGCGTAAAAGCTTGAAAATGAGTCCCAACTGTCAGTAGAGCACTGTAATTGGTGGCATAGTATTGGCGAGTGTGGTTAAATTATTAGTTGCTTATAATTAATTGATATCATAGCATTGGCAAGCGTGCTTGCATTATTATTTTCTGTCTTGGTGGAAATTAACATGGATGAATTGGTTTATAGACCAAATCAAACGCACAACACATGTACATATAAGGAATTTACTTATGAAATTTTTAAGCCATGGCGTTATACTTATGGAATTTACTTTTCTTATGAGCAGGCTACTTAAGGATTCAAGCGATTATTTGAAGATACGTATAAATCACGCTTTTGCTCATGGCATTTTATATGTATGATGTCAAGAAAGACGTATGGACAACTTTGATATTTTGGTTTTAAGTGCAACTAGTGTTGTGTTTTGTGAAGGGTTGGCACCCTCTTTGTAAGGGGTTCAATTTTGGCTTTTGTTAAGAGAGTTTTAATTTTTGAATATTTAAAAGTGATACATACCACTCTTGCTAACTAGATTTTTTAATGTGGGAGTTAGATAACCGATATGTGAACTATTGTATGCCTAATATTTTTTTGAGAGTTGCATATTAACTATTTTGTAAATGTATTGTATATCAACTATTTTATTGAAATGAATGAAATATGCCCCAAATTCTCTCAAATGTTTAAATATTACATTTATTGGTGTTCACATGATTTTTAATTTCTCTGATGGTTTGCTAATCAATTTTTTGTTTGAACAAGATAATTGGATTTTGTGTATGGATTGACATGGATGATATTAAGTGAAGGTCCACAATTGATTAATTTACATTTGCAATTTTGGGGGCCTTTTGTGCTCAATTGATTGGCATACTTGAAAATTTTGGTTGAATGTTATTTTAAAATTAATTGTATAATCGATTCAAAATGAATTTGTTAGGCATTGGACATATTATAATTGCACAATTTATTGGGAGTGAATATTTATGGTTTGGATTTGGTTGATATTTGGTCCATGACTGATTGTGTAATCAATTGGCCTATGATATTGTAATATGAATTCTTTTATAACCGATTGATTTTGCAATTGATTGGTAGTGAAATTATAAGATATTTGCTTACCAATCAATTGTGCAATTAAATGAGAATTAATTTGATAAATAGTAGACAATTTCACAACCAACTGATTGGGAGTGAAATTGAAACATTTGATCATCAACCAATTGTGCAATTAAATGAAAATGAATATAAGTACATGACAATTTCATAACCAATCAAGTGGAAGTAAAATTGTAAACAATTTATCACCAATCAATTATGCAATTGAATGAGAATGAATCTTATAGGTACTTGATAATTTCACATGCAAGGATTTTTTTACAATAACTTGGCTTGCACATGTGCAGCATAAACAATTTGGTATCTAAATATCATATACACAGATTGGCATCCAAAAAAAATTTACAATTTGGACATATATCAACTTCTTTATAGATGGATTAGCAAAATCAAATTTACATCCAAATAGAAATCATCCAAGTTTACATTCATCCACACATAAAAATCATCCAAATTACATCAACCAAATATTGTTCACAAACCAATTTTAAATTGTACATTACTCTAATTGTTTAATAAATAAAAAGGGGGGGGGTCACATTTTGGAAGGGGATTAACCATTGGTGTCCATTTCTCCTTACTATAGGAACTTCACATGTAGATTAGTAGAAATCAAAGGAGACTGACATGGAAATTTACACACACACACACACACACAACAACAAAAAAAAAGATGGATACATAAAATTGCCCACAAAAAGCAAATAGGGAATGCTTCCAAGCATAATGATGTTAAGATGGAGTCAATTCTCCCAAAGATAGCTACTAGATCAGTTTGAATAGCCTCATCTATAATTTCAATGGAAGAACATTTAAATGGATAACAATTACTATAAAAAAAAAGTTTAAATTAATGAAAAGCCAATACCTTATTTGCAACAAAGGCAAGCCTTTCGTTGGCAATTTCCTTACAGCATACACCATAACCCTACGTATATAACATTGGTCTAATTACCCAGTTCTAGTTATAGTGAAATTGGAATGAAGCAAGGAATCAATTATAAAATAAAGTATTTCAGGTTTTTAACTATTATAATCTTCCAAAATAAATGCAAGCTTCCCACATTGAAGAAGCAAAATACATTCACAAGTCGGGTTGTTTGGATAGAGAGAAAACAGTCAACAAGTCACTACCAAAAAGTCAACTCTTCTATCTACTTTTTTGCAAGTCTTTTTGAAAAAAGTGAAAAAGCCAACTAAAATAGCCAATTCCCAAATGAACCCACAATACTTTTAAGCATATGGTGAAAGTAGAAAAATCAATGCTAGTTTAAGAACAAAACATATGATGTCATTCTTGAAGTACATCAAAATATTCTATCAATTTAACAAGATTGACAAACATTACAAGTTGATAAAAACACAAAACCACATGTACTATTCTTAAGGGTAAAAAACACTTACATAAAAAAGAGACTGTTTAGACAAAAATCCTTCAAAGCTTCAGAAGGAGTACCACCTATTACCTACTACCAAAGTTATCCTATGTCAATTTATACCAAACACAGACAAACGCATCGAATTCAAAAACTATGATTTACCTAGATGAGATTGGTGATGATAATTGAGAGAAAAAAGAGTATGCCCAAACAAACAATAACAGGTCCCACTGCAAAGGCAAAGTTGTTAGGCTAATAACAGAGTAGTTTTGGGAGGATAGAACACATACATTCAATGAAATTCATATTTCAGCGGTCATTTGAACACTTTGTGAAGGAAGTTTCAACCTAAAAAAGTAGAATGGCGTAGAAATGTATAATATTAAGGCGCAAGGAATGAAAAAGTCATCAAGTGGTACGAACTATAAAATAATTAGAGAAAAATACCTCAATGCCCTTGCAATAGTAACCCAACAACCCTTACTAGTAAGCAAGAGACTAAGACAGACTCGATCAGCCACTCCTTGCAATTCCACTAACATATGAATCTCAAAGAAACAAAAAAATATAAAAGACCAAGTAGCGATAACTTCAATAATTACAATATTATGTATGCCTTCAAAAAGTTCAACAATGGATACATAGAACCAAACCTAGAAACTGCCATTACAAACTACCTCATCAAACATAGCAAATAATTGTCCTATCCATACCAAATAAAGCTCTAAAAAAAGTTTACAAGATAACATTAAAAGGAGTAATTTTCTTAAACGAAGCATTTTAGTATTTTTAGTTTGTTTTGTTCTTTGTTGTATAGACCACCCTTGAGTACTTACAACCTGTGGGGACATATTTTTAGGTAGTCCACGTGGCCGAGGTTGTTAGCCAAGGTGCCACGTGGGTAGACCATGGTGCTGAGATATAGTGCAATAATACCAGAATCTAAGATATTTGGATAGAGGACTAGAGTCTTAGATGACATCAAACTACCTATTTGGATAGAGATGAAACTCTTGAGGAAGTTCATCTTAATGTGAATAGTGTAAGTTGTGATATATGTTATCCTTGTAAAGGATAGAGTCCCATGATGTAAGACTTCTAGGGAAAGTTGGACACTGATCATTATAAAAGTAAGGCACCCCCGGTGGATCGAAGGTATGTTTTTTAATGCTCCGTCAAGTGAGTGAAGCATTATTGGATATCTTTGAGAGATAATTACTGACTTGATCATCAGAGTACCCCCGGGGGGACGAACCACCACCGGATTCTTATCTTTCTGTAACAGGCTGTTCGGGTTTAATCTATTCTGCCGATGCTCTCCTACTGAGTTTCCTTATTTGGTTGTGTGATTAAAAATCAACACCCACAATTTGGCGCTGTCCGTGGGAAATATAAGGAGAATAGATGGCCAACGACAGGTAGAAAGAAAAGGTCAGGGACGACATCCCTAATGGGAATGGCAAGAACGCCAATCTTAATGTGGAGGAGGAGAACTGTAACAAAGGACCTCAGGATCAGAATCCCAGGGAAAAGGACAGCGACCAAGAGGGAGACGCACTAAAGAAAGCAGGTCAAGGCGAGTATTACAACGAAAGCAACCTCTAGGTATGGAAAGATAAGTGCCTAAGTAGGGACAACGAGATGAAGGGAATGGCAAACAAGTTGGCAGACCTACAATCGGTTGTCAACTTCATGATGCAGAATAACGTCATGCAACCACCGTATCCATTAAAGGACATACCGATTCCAGCGGCCAATAATGACGCCTAGAAAGGGGGGCAGAAAGCAATACCAGCAGTCCCTCAACATGACAAGGTGAAAGAATGCTCATATCGGCCTCCACGGGACGCCGGGCGAGCAGAATCAATGAGAGGAGAGTCTCAGAGGACACCTCCGACCAAGGGAACTTATGTCAAGGAATATTGGCATGTTCAATGAAAGGAACTTTTTTTTGACACGGTGAATGAAGAGAAGTCCAAGAGAACGCATAACGACACTAGGAGCAATGTACCAAAGAGGCTGAAGTCGGTTGACAGTTGAGCTCCTAGTCAAACTAAGGAGGATCTGAGGGACTACCTCCAGAGGAAGAGGTAGAATGCCTAGGTCACATCCCCCATCAAGCCAAAGACGCCATTCTCAATAAAACTGGATAGGTTTGAGGCCCCAAAAAGATTCCATATACCAAGGTTCCAGATATATGACAGTAAGTTCGATCCGAACTTTTACGTCAGCTTGTACCTAAATTCAATGGCACTGTATACCGGGAACGAACCGCTGCTATGCAAGGTGTTCCTCTCATCCTTTGGGGAAATTGCGTCGGATTGGTTCCACAAGTTGCCAAAAGAAACTGTGAAGAGTTGGAAAGGCCTGGCCGAGATGTTTGGGGCCAGGTTTGTTACAAACAAATTGCAGCCGTTGAGGGTAGACTCCCTGATGGCTCTAAAAATTGGCGAGGATGAAAGCCTCAGGGCTAATGCCAAAAGGTATTATGAGGTGTTTAACCGAATAGCAGGGTGCAACTAAGAGTTGGTGGTCATATCTTTTAAGAACGACCTAAACGATGACTGCATGCTTCGAAAGTCACTGGCAAAGACTTTGCCAAAGAATATGGTGGAGCTCATGGCCAGGATCGAGAAATATGCGAGAGCCGAAGATACGCCAGGAACGAAAGCGTCAAAGACGGAAAAGAGGAACGGCTCATCGAAGCGAGGCCGAGGTAATACAAATTTTAATAGACAAGAAATAGGACTAAGGGCTGCACAGGCAGTCACCACTGTGTTCCGAATCCTGGTTTATAAAGTTCTGGAAAGGATCAGGAACTAGTCGTATTGTAGAGCACCAGAGAAGATTCCTGGTGAATTTATGGGAAGAAGTCTAGGGAAACACCATGCCTACCACAATGAAGATGGACACCTGACGCACGGTTGTAGAGCCCTAAAAGCACATTTGGAGGATCTGGTAAGACAAGGTCACTTAAGGGACTTAGTTGATGAAGCTAAAACAAGAGAAGAACAAGCAAAGCTACCCCAGGCACTGGCAGCACCACCTCTACCAGCACCACAACCGCAAGCAGACGGACCTCGAGTGATCAATGTGATTCACTTAAGGGTCAATGAGAACAAGGTATGTGGAGAGACTCAGAGGGTGAAACACTTACAGCATGT